ACATTCATATATTACCTTGCCATTCCAATATATTATGGATGTGATGATACCCAAACATGACTTATTATGTCGTGTCTATAAATATAAGTCAACAACAGTCTTATCGTGTTTTGGTTTATTGTTGAGAACCCGTATTTTTAGTCATGGTCAACTTTATGTGGTTATCAATTTTATGTGGATATGGGAAGACTAAGAGTAATCAAGAGTAAACCATAATGTTACATTTCATTTCAAGTCAAATTTTATTATTGTACAAATTAAATTCATAACGAATTAATGAAAATTACAAGCTTATTATTTTAGTTTAATTTTAACTAAAGGTAATTAAAAGGGTCAAATTTAACCAACCTTGCATCGCACATGTGTTAAAAATACAAGTTTATTTTTTTCAAATTTAACTAAAGCTAATTATAAGGGTCAAATTTCACAAACCGTGCATCGCAAAATCCTGTTATGATTTCATATGATATGACTATAAATAAATCAAGATCAATCTTTGTCCTGTGTTGGGTTGTTTTTGAAAACCCCCGTATTTACCCACGGATAGTTGTATGTTGCAGTATCAAGGGTTACCAATCGTCGTGGTTTGAAAATTCTAATTTTTATGAAGATGAAGGAACCACTTACAAGACTCAGAATGCTGTATTCAAAGAAGTGTTCAACAATATTTAGGGTTACATGAAATGCATATTCACAATGTTATAGTTTCTACTTATTTGTTAATTGTTTTTTTATCTTTTTAGTAATGCTTAGTCCTCTCTTTTTAACAATAATATTATAAGTGTGTTTTGTTCGTTGGTTTGAGTTATATCAATATTGCATGGAGATAGATGTTGTCATCATTTGATAGTATAATTTGAATAGTTAGCACGAATAAATTTGAAAGAAAAATTCCCCGACCGTGCATCGCACGGGTGAGTTACTAGTACCACTACGCTAATAATGTAGAGAGTATAATATACCACTGAATATAAAATAAATAGATTAATTTACATTAATATTAGTAACATTCTTAAAATTAATGCTTTAATATGAAAATGGAAATTACACATAAATAATTAAAATAAAATCTGAACTAATGTAACTAAATATCAACTAATATGGAGTACGTGTAGGTATTTTGAAATTAAACATAAGCTGAATATTTGTGTATAACCATAAAAAAACAAATAATTGTTGAACATTGTAAAGATACAATAAAATGATAAATTAACGATGCGTCAATGAAAAGGAAAAAATCTAAAACTAATTTCTAGACGGTGTTGACAACAATGACGAGTCAGAATTACGTAAATACTAAAAAAGGAGATTGAAGTTCACAAAAGCTTCCTAAATTACGTAATTAGGGCATATTTGATCATTGACAACATCCTAAAACTATCTCTGTTTCTGATCTTTAACATCGTTTTCATCTTCACACTCTTAAGCCTGTACGCACTCCTTTTCCTACTCGCACCAAATTGTCTCTCAGTCTCTTACAAATGGTGAACTCCTTGCAGATGTTACTGAGTATTGTAGTATGGTTGGTGTGTTGCAATATTTGACTATGACTAGACTCGATATTACATTTGTTGTTCATTTGGTTTCCCAATTTATGCATGTGCCACGTACTTCACATCTTTTGGTTGTTAGGAGAATTTTTAGGTACTTACAGGGTAGATCTACCTATGGACTGTGGCTTTGTCCGTCATCTGGTTCACCTACTATTCTTGCCTATTCAGATGCAGACTGCGCAGGCTGCCCCGACAGCAGTCGATCTACCTCTGTTTTTGCTATTTTTCTTGGTCTTAATTTGATTTCTTGGAGATCCAAGAAACAGCTTACTGTCTCCCAATCGTGTACTGAGGTTGAATATCAAACTATTGCCTACACAGTACAGGACACAATACACATTCGTTCCATCTTATTTGAGCTTGGTATCTCCATTCGTGCTCGCATTCGACTTTTGTGTGATAATGTTTCTGCATCATATTTATCAGCAAATCCTATTCAGCATGCTCGCAGTAAACATATCAACATTGACTAACATTTTGTTCGTGAGAGCGTTGCACATGGAGATTTACATGTTCGCTATGTTCCTACCAAGTTAGTGCACCATGCTCGCTGTAAACATATCAACATTGACTACCATTTTGTCCGTGAGAGCGTTGCACGTGGAGATTTACATGTTCGCTATGTTCCTACCAAGTTTCAGCTTGCAATAGTTTTACTAAAAATTTATGTTCACATCGTTTTATTTTTCTTGGTGACAATCTGCACGCAGTTCCTCCTGCATGGATTGGGGGGTGTAATAATGTAGAATAATTATTTTTGTAGACTTCTAGTTATGGTAGGAACCCTTGTACTATTCAGACTCTGTTATTCATTATATATAGCTCACAGGTCTACCAATTCTGGTAAGCCTGACCATTATTTTCATAGAAATGGGGGGCACCACAAAAGGTTAAGTCTTGTTTTCGAATCTTGGTCTTGTTTATACACACTCCTAACAAACAATTCATGTCTCTAAAACTAATTTAGTTCACAACCAAACAGTAGCGGAGCCAAAAATGGTAGGTTAGGGGACCGAGCTTAAGGAATTTATATTGGTGCATCAAAGCTTAACATTTCACAATATTTTTTATTACTTGTAAATATTTATACATACATGCATATATACATCAAAAATTCTTTCTTCCGGAGGTCCAAGGCTTCTGCCAGCCTCCCACTGTCTCCACCCCATCGGGCAAATTAAACCATTGGGCTGTTTCAACAAGATCAATCTAAGACGTATGTCAACTCTTTATGGTGGCGACTATTGTATATATGTGAGTAATTTTACAAACATTAGTTGGTGTGCATACAAACATACTTTCTCCCTCTTTTATTACTTGGTCCACTTTCTTTTTTAGTTATCCCAAATGTTTTGATAGTTTCCCTTTTAATCAATTAATTTATGATTCGTGTTATATATATATTTCTCTCTTTTTTTGCACAAACCTCTGAAAGACGGTGAGAGTATATGAGTTTGTGTGCTGATTTATGTAATGTCACGCTAATGGCTAACCTATATTTGCGCATAGTCGCATACTAATGTTTATATAAGAAAATATGACACCTCATTCCTAAGAAGCCCCCATATTAATTTTCACTACGTATATAACATGCTCGCAAATATGTACTCAGCTCCATAGTACATAGCAGGGACGGAGGTACACTTAGGGGTAGGGGGCCTTAGGACCTCTCAAAGTTTTTAATTTTTAGACAGCACTAGTATAAGATATGAAATAATCACAAAAGATTGGGTCAAAATTATCTAATAGAAGCCTCCATTTGAGATGTTTCCGGGTAGAATTTTTTAATGAAATTTTGTGAGCATATTTTTCATGAAGTGCGGATTATATCCAATCGAAAAGACGATTAAATGATTATGGAAAAACAGTGCGCTTGTTTATATATAGTTTGGCGCAATGTTTTTCAATAATTTATTTAGCTGACTTCCCGATTGAATTTTCAACTGATATTTGGTTTAAATAATCTACACATCATGAAGAACATTTTCACAAAAGTTCATCAAAAAAATCCACCCGGAAGTACCTCAAACATAGGCTTCTGGCCGACGGATCCTGTCGAGTAGTTTTGATTAAAAATAGAACAAAATATGTTTTCTTCAAATAGATCTTATTTAGTCCTATTAAAAAATTGATTAAACATTTCTAAAATAGGAGTGAATAAGTCCTATTTTGAGAATAAAACAATGACAGTCTTATTTATGAACTTTATTTTATTTAAGTATTATCAAGAGAATTTTCTCTTTATTGTTTGTTTCCTTCTTGGCCCCTGGTACATAGTACTTTTTATCTGATCACTTTCTTTCTATTTTCTTTACATACATATATACTTTGAATTGTTTTGTACGCCGCATAATTGGATGAACATGATTAAAGGTTAAAAAACAATTTTTTGGTTCTTTAAAATGATTTTTATAATAGATTAATATTATCCGTTGAATAATTGTTAGAAGTGAAACAGAAACATAATCGGTTCCAATACACCTGATTAAGGGGGTGTTTGGAACTGTTTCTACTTCTTCAAAGAGCAGAAACAAAAATTGGAGTGTTTGAGTGAAAGTGTAAAAGTATTTCTGATGCTCTAATTACACCGAGAATAAGTTTTTTAGAAGTTAGAGGAGATCAATTTCTGAAAACTGATTCTGCTTCTACTTTAAAAAGTAACAGAAGCAGAATCAGTTCCAAACACCCCCTAAATATGGATTGAAGTAGGTTGAAGACGAAATATTGTCAATTTTGTGGGTGATTATTGGTAAGTAAATTCTTTGAGGTCGTAGTTTGGTTTAGATACTACGTATAAACAAGGATCTGTTTATCAAAACAAGTTGAATTTAATTCTAATGAGTCGGTGCTTCTCTTATCCAAAAATAATTCGGGGTATTTAAAAACTAATCACTAATCAGTGAGTACTTGGACTTACTAGTATTCCACCCAGGCGTTGCACGACATGTAATATGCAGATATTATAAATGTCAATATATAAATGCTTTCATCACACATTTCAGACATCATAAATAAAAATCCCAAAATATTCGAACTTTAATAAGTACACACACATTACAAACTATTAAAGACCTTTAGATAACCTTTTTGCAGTTCTTTTATATCCATCATCACCCCATATCACGAACATTAATTCAAACACACGTGTCACCCTCGAAACTTTTGCATACAACTATTAATCCATGTGTAAATTGTAAAACGGGATATCACAAAAGAACACCCATAATTTGCAACAATTTTATTTGACTCTTGTTCATTTTTGCCTAGCTATCCATTAAGAGAAACTATCTAATTAATAGACCTGAAAGTGAGGCTCACAATCCTCACATCGGTTGGGTAAAAGTGTAAAACTAATCTTGAAAGTTAGAAACATCTCAGTTGTATAATGCTTCTATAATATAATTTCTATACATTAAAAGAATAAAATGTAGCTAAAGTACAGAATATAAAAGGTGAAAGTGTTTAAACTATTAAAAATGGATGAAGTATAACTTCAGTTTTTATTTATGCATTCTCTCAAAATCTTCTAAAGGAATGATATATGTGATTGATATATCTTTTACTTTTCAAAATGAATAACAATAACACCATCTCATTTTCTATGTCAGTTACATTATGTTACTCAATCACAAAGTCAGGGACCTAATAAAAAAACATGTTTTAGTTAAGAAGTTAATAAATCAAGATCATGTTTGATGACCCCTGAATTTATGCTATTTCCTAAGATATACGTTTTGGAAAAAAAACTCAACCTATAATACGTCACCAACTTCAGGCTTAGGATATATGAGACACCTTTCGGAGAATAATACAATGCATGAAGTGGCTTTGTGGAACACGGGGTTACTCAATGAAGCTAAGAGATCAGGTGTGCCACACAACATTCATCCAGCAAAGAGTTGGTTCATCTGCAGCAACCCTGTCTAGCCATTTTGTTCTTTTCCTACTCTTGGGGTTGTTTTGCTCAGAAGTCATCAAGGAAGGATCTCAATGTGGCAGAAAGGTGCGTGTTTCAATATGCTCTTAAATGAAAACAAAAATATTGTGGTTGTGTGTTAATAATAGAGAAGTATTGAGTTAATGATAACGCCAAGTAACGATGAGACATTTTCAGGATTAATCCACCCCGATTTCATGAATTTTAAAATTTTAGGGTAAAGCTCAATCAAGCAGCATCATCCACTCACTTGAAAGTATGACATCTTCCATTTTAACTGAATTTGCGGCCAGCATGTTGTGCAAATAACTCAAGATCTTTCGCTAATTGTTCTGCTTCCAGGGAAAAGCATGTCAATTTGTGGGCGACCAACTTAAACTCTCAATATGTTTATTATGAGCTACATTGCTAAGAACAGTAATAGATCATACACCTAAAAAGAAAATTCATATTGAGTTCAAAGGTAAATCTATGAAAAGCAGCAGGAAAATGCAAAACTTTGAACTCGACTAAGTATTTTGCCCCCAAATTCTCCGCAACTAGGAGATTGATATGCATCAAATTTCTGGTTGATATTTCTAGCAAGAAAACATCAAAAGACAAGATTTTTAACTTAGACACACAAAACTAATTTTCAGCAACAGTTAGACATGCAGAAGTAATTTTTAGTAGCAGTTAGACATGTGAAACTAATTTTCAGAAGCACTTACTTTCACCGTGTGATAAAAAATGCAGCAAATTGTTAATAAAGATATGTTTGAACAGGAAACCTGCGACAAAAATAATAGCTCATTTTCCTATGCATTTTTTTAAACCCCATTGAGAATTGAAGCCGGGACCTCCCATAAGGGAGAGTGGGTCGGCTACCAGCTAGGCTGGACGGCTTCCTCCTAAAGACAACTTGATTTTGATTTAAATTCTCGTCAAACCAATTCAGACTTTATTTTGATTTCTTCCTAACTCTTTATAGTGTTTTGTTAGTTCTGAAAACAACTACAGTGTGTTTTTAAGTTCACTAACATACACAACAAACTTAAAGTTTCTTCTAATTGAAATATGAAATTTCCTCTTTGCCTATTTTACTTGCTCAGTTAAAGTTATGAAACTTCCTCTTGCTATAAAATGCGTGAGGCATGCGATTACCTAAATTAATCATGAATATGTTTTATGAGTTAATTAATTATATCCAAGTATGTGTTATGCCATATTAAAGAATATAACATAGTTGAAAAGCATGTTATGTAGGTTAATTATTAATAATATGATAATTTAATATTGTGATGTTCTAAGGATCCAAAAAAGTATTTTTGGATTGAGGACGTCAAGAAGTACGTGTATACAAAATATCACGACAATACCCTAGTCAAAGGCAATACCCGGCCAGGGATGAACTAAAAACAGCCCCGACGGCTACTGGCTCACCATACTCGACCGGGTATGGATGGGTACCCGACTGGGTATTGGGTTTTACACCCAATGGGTACTTTTGAATGATTTTAACGTGGGCTGTTCGGGTGGGACTCGTTCACGTTGGTTACTAAGGATTATTATATGACTATAGGTCTAGGTATTGTCCATAGTTGAAGGAATAAAAAGTTAGCCATATCCGGGTTAGGATTTGGATTTTGGAAGGAATCAGGGGCGGCTATATGGGGAGTTACCCAAGGCAAATGCCTTGGGCCTCATATTTTAGTGGGGCCTCAAAAAAATTATTAATAGTATAAAATGTCTATTTTCATTTTAATGGTTTGGAAGCAAATATATCTATTGGTAGTGCAAAGATAGATAAAGTGATTTTAGCTCTAATTAATTGGCAGGCTCATAGCCACTAGCTAGCCACCATATAAATTGAAGTAATGTTTAATTAGTTGGATCACTTGGATGGACACAATTATTTAGTTATTTTTATTTTCACTGATTATTGTTGTATTTGTGATTTGTTAACTGCTTTATGTTTTATTTTTTGTAAATATGTTACTGGGGCAAACAAAAATCAAGAACTGTAGGGATTTAAAATTTAGAAGTACTACTAAGATTCTCTCATATCAACTTTAGTAAAGTTTGTGTGACTTTAAATCAATTTGACTTTATTCTTACTTTATCAATTCAATATCAACCACATACAACATTTTTATTGGTTTGCGTGTTACTCCCTCTTGTCCCATTGTTAGTGGGACGGAGGGAGTAGTTTAAGAAATAATTTGGGAAAGTATATAATATATATAATGGAGTAATGGATTAGAAGTGTGTTGTTATGAGAGTATTAATTTTAATATGTGATGGTTATATTCTTAGCCGACCTCAAAATCTTTTGGAAATAAGGCTTGTATGTTGTTGTTGTTGATGGCTATATTGTCATAAAAGAGTTAACTATATTCTAAAATTAAAATGAGAATGAGAAATTTTTAAAAGGACGTCCAAAAGAGACAAATGATAATGTTTACCCGGGGCAGAGGAAGTGTAAGTTTTGGTCCATTTTGCGTATGTTTACATTTAAAATTTTTATTATTTTGATGTTCACTACTTTTTGAATATGCATTTTTTTCACATTTTGTATTTTTATTCAATTAATCTTTTTTTTTTGTCTTTTGTGCTATAAAAATCACATTAATATGATATGTCAATATTAAGTGTTTTTCGTCTGGGGCCTCCAGACTTCTGAAGACGCCTCTGGAAGGAATAAGGTTGGGGTAGGGTACCCTTGGACGATAAATGATCCTAAAAACACCTTTGCTAGACACCTTTGCTTATTTCACTAATCATGTATAGTTAATTTAATTTGCTTATTCATATCTTGTGATTAGGGGTGTAAACGAGCCGAGCCGAGCCCAAACTTACATAGGCTCGAGCTCGAAAATATTTTACATGCTCGAGTTCGGCTCGAGCTCGAACGAGCTCAAATATTAATGCTCAAGTTCGGCTCGGTATATTTACCTAAGCTCGAAGTCAGCTAAAGTTCGGCTCGAAGCTACTCATCTAGGCTACTAGCCAAGGGTTGCTTTGCTGCCTCCCATTGCTGAATAAGAGGATATGGTCTTATTTACTGAGTCATGGTAAAGCTAGTCTTCTAAGTAATAAGTGTGGGATAAATGAGTTTGAACATTGAAAAATATAAAAATTAGGTGTAAGCGGGCTTCGATCCTGCATTGCAAATTTAACACCTCGGAGAACTCCACTCAACTAAAGATCCATAAGATGATGACTTCGAACCTAAACATTGATTATACTTTATTTCATATGAGTTCTCGACTAACACTAACAATTCTTACGGTGTTATTTTATAATTTTATAATAATAATAATAATAATAATAATAATAATCACAATAATAATAAAATATATATACATATACATAAAAATTATATTATATATATAAATACCAAAGCTCGCTAGCCGGCTCATGAGCCTCGAACCTAAAATAAATAGACTTGAATTAGGCTCGTTAAACACTCGAGCCGAGCTGAGCCGAGCTGAGCCGAACTCGAGTCGAGCTTGAATATGACCAAACTCGAGTCGAGTTTTTACCGAGCGAGTCGCGAGTGGCTCCGGAACGACTTGGCTCCACATTGTTACACCCCCTACTTGTGATTAAAAGCCCAGGATTCCACCCCAGGCAAAACCCCATGCACTCGAAAGTAACGATTTTTATTTTTTTTCGTTAATTAAAGGTCAGTTTCAAAATTCATGTTGTCGGGAAATCCATCTTCCTTCTTGGAACCGGAAAGGGGAGATGCCGACGGACCGGCCGCGGCATTTGGCTCCAACGACGAAGACCCTTCGAAGCTCCTCACTGTTCCAACAGCAACCGGGTATAAACTTTACTCCTCTTCTCTCTCGGTCTTACATTTTCCTCATCTTAGCACAGTTTAAAAGTCTGCTCTCTATTTTGAGCGGTATGCCAGGGGGGTTAGACACAAGTGTCCGGCATGCTTTAAACAATACAAGAAAAAGGAGCATCTGGTTGAGCACATCAATACTTCTTACCATTCTGTTCATGATCCCAAGTGTGGGGTATGCCAAAAGCACTGCAAATCATTCGAATCCCTGAGGGAACACATCATTGGTGATATCATTGTCGTTGATTATAGATACCCTTTGGGTAAATTTTTAATCTTCATGGGGTTTCTTACTTTCTTCTTGAACTTTTGTGTCTGAAACATTTTAGGCCCCTTGTCCAAAGCTAGCTGTTCAACAATATTTGCAGAAAGAGGTTGTTCTTTGTGTTTGAAAGTATTTGACTGTTCTGATTCCTTAAGTCAGCATAGAGATATATGTTGCCTTCCAGCTCCTGCGCCTCTGGTAAGGAGACAGATAATTAGGATTTCATTCATTTGCAGTGTCGGGAAGTTTAACATTTTTCCGATTCGCTCACTCGTGTAAGCTCTAGATATTATCACTCACACTCACTTAGGGTGTATTTGAAACTCTGAAAATGATGAGGAAAGAAAATAGAAGGGAAATATGCAAGAAAAGAAAATTGACTGAAACAACTGCCGGTTCATACTCAAAAAATCAATTTACACGAAGGAGTGGGATGCGAAGTCAAATGGTTTTATAGTGAAATAGGGTGCATACATTAATGATTTTGAAAATAGGGTGCAAAGTCAAATATCACTCAAAAAGTGTGGTGCAAAGTCAAATTCTCTCTTAAAAAAGGCAACTTTCCTTAGAATTTTCCACATTTTCTACCATTTCCGGGTTTGTAAACATAGCCTTAGATAGACACAATGTGAGGAAGTAGCTTTGTATATGGGGAAGGTTGATTCCAAAGTAAATTGATCATACATGGTATTCAGTTTAAATTATTTGTTGTGGCTTGTTGGCTTGTTGCAGGGAACAGTGGGGGTTCCTTTTACAGAAATTGAATTTGACAATTCATCTCTAAGTGATGTGGATGGATATGGGAGTGGAAGAGAAGCAGTTGCCATGGATTGCGCAATTGTAGGTGGGGGAAGTGACGGATCGCTCGATCTTTGTGCTAGGGTTTGCCTTGTCAATGAAGATGAGAAGATAATTTTCCACAGCTATGTTGTACCTGAGATTTCTATAACTGACTATAGGTATAAAATCACAAGTGAAGATGAAAAGTTATATTTTCCAATTCATTTTTATTGTTTTACTGAAGAAGAAACATGAGCAGATTTTTTTCTGTTTAGGAATGAAATCACGGGAATTAAAGAAGAACATATCAGAGATGCATTGCCACTTGTGGAAGTGAGGGAGAAGATTCTGGAGATTCTTCATAATGGAGAATCCATTTGGAAAGTGAGAATGGGTGGTGGAAGAGCTAAGGTTCTTGTGGGGCATAACCTTACTGGTTTCTTACAATGCCTGGGAATGTACTATCCTGACGATTTACTTAGGTAAGAAACTGTTCATTTATCAAACTTTGCTGTAAAAATACCTACACACTAGCATGTACCTCTGTTTTTAGGTACTACTAACCATTTTGGCACTCTCTCGCTACCAGTTGAGCTACGCCCACCGGTGACTGGTAGCGAGAGAGTGTGTTTGATACTTTCCTATATAGTATCTCCACAAAATAATGGATAAAAATAAAATCCGAATTTACCGCATCTCCACAAACCCACCTGACTCTATATAGCTTCCACCAAAACTCTGAATTGTTATCAAATAATTTTCCAAATAGCTGATTCAGTCTTTCTAAATGGCTTTTTAAAATTCGAAAGTGCGTTTGACCAATGTACAACGTTTAAATTTCAGTGAAGTGGATTTGTCATAAATTTTTTAAAATTAATGACAATTTATTTGTTGGTTTAACTAAATTTATCATATGGAGTATGCAATGTTTTGAGCATTTCTTTTAGCAATTCGAGTTATTCTTATAGTATTACTGAAATAGAAAAAAGAATTCACAGACAAAAATATGAATATGTAGTCAATCTAGTTAGACGACGGGGAATTATCATTATGGTCGTCACTGCACATCGAAATTCACGTTTTGGTCCTTTTAGGGAAAATCCGCGATATAGGAGAAAAATAATGTAAAAATCCAATATAGGAGTACCATGTTTCCCCCCTAAATGGGAGTGCGTTACTGCAGCCTTGAGAATTCACTGCCATATTTTTGCATTACGAGGCTTCAAATATGGCCATATACTGCCATAATTGGCAGTAAATACCCTAAATAAGGAATAAAAACATAGTGGCCTGATTTTGGAATTTCAAAACGTTTTTCCTCCTATTTAAAGCAAATTCTCTATTTTAGAGAAAAAGGTTAAATAAGGCCTTCTACTATTATGAAATAGTCACATAAGGCCATATACTCAATAAAGTGTCATATAGGTACCTCTACTTGTAAAAAGCAATCAAATGGGTCCTAATGACCTATTTAACACCTCTTAATCCCGGTTTTAGCGTACTTCTGACCATCTTTTTAGAATAGAATATACGGCATACGTCCAATATTTAACTAAGATTGATTGAAATACAAGTCAAAAAATTCGACATGTAAGCTAAAACCGGGATTATGAGGTTGTAAATAGATCGTTATGACTCATTTGATTGTTTTTTACAAGTAGAGGTACTTATATGACACTTTATTGAGTACATGACCTTATGTGACTATTTCATAATAGTAGAAGGCTTTATTTGACCCTTTTCTCTCTATTTTATTGTAGTCATATATTTGTCATTTTTTTAATATCAAATTTCATGTTAAATTAGTTTCATTTGAATCAAATGATTTGATGAAACTGAGCTCTTATTTGCACAAAAAGAAGTTCGGAAAACATTTTTTTTTTGCGGGACGTAGTCACGTAGAGAGTATCTGTCTCCCTAAACATGAATTATGTTTTATGATTCATTGATGAGTTCAAATATCTGTGTGGGTTAATGCCGCTTGTTTATCTATTTCTGGTTTTGCAGAGATACTGCTACGTACCAACCTTTGGCAAAGACAAATTTTTTCAGCCACACTTTCAAGTATCTTACCAAGACATATCTGGGGCAAGTCAATTACCTCGTTTGTAACTACTCAGTACCTGCTTAACCTAAAATGTTCAGGAACCTTTAATTTAGGGACCTGTTTGGTATAAGTTATTAATCTAAAATGAATGAATATCCTGAATTTTGTGAAAGAAAAAGTGTCTGGTAAAAATATATTTTGCTTACTGTAGTGGTAAGCAGAATAAGACAAGTACGGCTACCAATGGAATTAAGGGCTCATTTGGCAATACCAACCAAATGAGCCTTTAATCTATTTTATTTTCTTATTTGTCTGAATCGGTTGAATTTGCTCAAGTAGAAAGCATTCTGTAAAATTGATTCTAACCAAGTCAAATGCTATTTTCTGCTTACCCTGGTAATTCTCTACAGAGTAAGCAGATTAGATTAAAATCTACCGAACCGTGGCTAAGTAAACTGTTGTTCAGCACAAAATGTCAATTTTCTTAAAATACAGTTTCCCTGAATGAGAGTTTTGTCCAAATTAACAGGTATACCATTCATGAAGGGGTACACGACACATATCAAGACAGCGTCACAGCGATGAGGTTGTATCAGAGAATGAGGTTCCAAGACCACCATCCGGATCAGAATGTAAACTTGGTGGCCCCGCAAGACTCCGTGGGCTTCAGTTTATTCAACTCAAAGCAACTAGAGAGCATGACACCTAGCGAGCTTCTTGAGATCTCTAAGGCGAATTACCAGTGTTGGTGCTTGGATTCAAGAAGAAAATAATCTCTACGAACCGTTTCTTGCACTGCAGTATGCTTCTAGTTGATCAATCCTCATGATTGTGTTTATCTTCTTAAATACGTAATTAGTAAACCCTGCAATGTATGAACTGGTAGCCAGTTCTGTTTCAAGTGACTAGCTCCAACTCACCGACGCTAATGCATTTCGTGATAGCACTAGACCTGGATATTGGATCGAACCAGTAATAACCAGACCGACAGCCCGTTTCTATGACTCTGGACAGGAACCGGTATCTAGAAACGGTCAAAATGAGTTCTCCATCCCCCAAAATAGGCCTGTACTGGTTTTCAGCCCCGGTTCTTTTTTAAATAGGCAAAAACTGGAATGAAATAGGGACTGACCGAGAATCGGAACTTGAGTGGACCACTGGACCAGACTTTTTTCACTGGTCCTGGTTATGGATTAAGCCACCTTATGATCTGGAATCAGTTGATCTAGAATCAAAACTGAATCTGGTCCACACCTAGTTAACCAAAATATTTTGTGGGTAGAAATGTAGAATAGCCATTTGCCTCTACTTCAGCCTAGTTTGTTGAAAGTGTAGTTTAAGACTTGAAGTTGCTGAATCAATTGCGTGCTTGCAGCAACTTCACCCACTTTATATTTTCTGATGTATCAATAAAAGATTAAAAACATCACTCACTTTCCACATTTACTTATAACTCGAATGGGTGCGAATTTGCTGGATAAGTAATAGAGTTTTGCTAGAGGTACTGTGTACACAAAATGTGAATTGTCTGTGACAGACAAAATTTCTGTGAAGGACAGACATGTGTACACATTTTGTGTACCTCAAGCATTTTTCTAAGTAATAAGTTCGGCCGAGGATATTTTGAGTATTTTTTATAACATTGAAATTGGTTCAATTGACTAAATTTGTTGAGATTTATGAACGTCTAGTTGAATTTACTTAATCTGTTGAGTATTAAAAATAGTTATAATAGTTAAAATAGTTAATCAATCAGACGTTAAAAAAGTTATTGTACACCAATCAAACGTAAATTGTTCGGAATAATAGTCTATACAAATTACTTAATCAAAAGTTATTTTCTAATTTTTTTCAAATTACATGTAAATTGATTACACATATAACTACATCATTCATTTGGATGTATATAGACAATTAATTTTTTTGTCCATCCAGACAATTGAAGTTGATCACACAGACAACTATGGTCTGTCAGCCGCACAACTATTGTTTGTGTGGTAATATTGTTTGTGCACAGAGACAAATAATAGTCTGTGCAACATGAAAATTTTGTATGTGCACACAGACACTGCACATATGTCGATTGATTTGCAAGTTGGTGTTAGTGTCAGGCGGCTGTTATTGTACTTTTTACACAAAAGTAAATGTCTGTGGACACAGACAAAAGTTGTCTGTGTACACAACAACTCTTGTCTGTGCTCACAGGCAACTCCGTACCAAATGTCCGTGATCGACATTTTATGTACAAGTTGTACACAACTTGTGTACTCTAGCATTTATTGCAATGGTGTCAAATGGACTTCACCCATATTACTTCTACAAAATAAGGAGGTTATATACACACGTTCCAAATCTTCGATGAGTGGAGTTCCAACTGTTGCAGGTCTTGAATATATAAATTAAAGCTGCTAAATTAATTAATTAGCTCAAAAAACTCGATCAAAATGGAAGGCCATGAGGCAGGAGGGCTAGCATTTCTTCTTTATTCTTGATCAACCCAAATTTGAACATACTATATGTCAGATCATATTAGGTTGGAAAATGGGAAAGTTCCCGAAATAGGACTAAAATGGGAAATTCCAAAATAGGAATGCTATTTTTTTCTACTCGAAATAGGAATAACATGAATTTTACACAATAATTAAATATGCTAATTCGAGTATATTTTGAGAAATAATTTTGATCGGTATATAATATAGTGGGTGTTGGGATATTAGACCACGCCCGTCCATGACTAATCACCCCATGATGCCTAATCTACATGCAAGGCCATTCGCTGTATAGCCAATTCAGGATAGGCATCCAACAGATCCGCGCGACTATTGCCGTGCAGCCCATTCTCTACATTTGGGCTTCTCTACCCAATCCAACAGCCTTTCAAGACAGAACCTCCCCAAGCAGTTGGTGGGAAACTTGAGAATTGACGGGAAGCGCATTTAATGCATCACACTCTGTATATGGAAGATTTTACGTTTGGGGTTCATCCACCCAAGGTTGGACACATCACTCCCTCCACCTACCACCTTATAGTATAAATATCAACATTTATTTCATTGAAAAATGTTGGCAACTTAGCATTCGTAAGCATTAGACATCTTTGTATTTTCTTATGTGGCATTCCAGCTTGAGCTAGGGGCAGGGACGGATCCAGGATTTCTATTCAAGGGGGGCGAAATTTTTCGGTACTGTAGGGGGTGAAAAAATTTTGTTACTGTAGTGGGGCGAAATTTTTTCCCCTAGTGTAGCGGGGCGAATTTTTTCCGCTACTGTAGGGCTATACGGCTAATTTTATTCAAAAAATGACATTAATACATACACATCCCCAACGACATTTAAATCTATTAAGTTGTACATTCTAAGTTTAAATTAGACGATGACAAAGACATCAACCAATACATTTTTAATAACTTCTACATTGTTTAACCTCATGAATCGGTTATTATTGAATTGTAATTTTTGTCCGGCCACCAAGGAGGGTGTTCGTGAGTCATGATTCATGAGAAGTTTTCTTAATATTACAATAGTAGTATGTATGATATTATTATTTTTAGAATAGTATGCACCACATACACACATATATTGTGCATATTATGTTTTAATATTTGTATTAATGCTATAATAATTTAAAGTTTATTATCTATGCAATAATCTATTTTTAGAAAGCAAGAAGTAAATGAATTATGTACGTAATTTAATGTCAATAAACATTTATATTTTGGATTCATTTCACGTGATCTAAAAACTGTGTAATTAGTGTGTCTGATATTTAATATTGTTTGATATATATTTTACAAAATCAAGTACTTGTTATCTAATAAAAATAATTAAACATTACAAAACTAGGAATTCTTATATAATAAGTATCATAAATCTTAAACAACGAGTTATTCTATTGTTTATGTGTTTAAGTTATGTAATTATTTTAGATGTTCCTTCTTTTAAATCTTCAATTAAGTATTACATTATGCCACACTATATATTACTTTTGAAAATTAAAAGCTAAGGGGGGCGAATCTAATTAAATTATGAAAGTTTTATGAAAATATTACATATATGGTAGAAAATTTTGAAAGTCCAAGGGGGGCGGTTGCCCCCCGTGCCCCCCCCCCCCCCTAAATCCATCCCTGGCTAGGGGGTCATGCCCGCTCGGCATAAGTGTTGTAATACTCCGTATTTCTAAAGACTTCAATAGAATTAGATTCACTTTGCCTCTACTTGTTTGCTTGTTCTTATCATTCTCTTGCCTTAAACACTTACCAAAACAACTCATCTACGAATTAATTCCTACGAAAGCCAAAAGACTTGTGGAGCCTTTGGACCTTGAGAAATAGACCTCAACAATGTGTTATTGATGATAATTATGATGTTATAAATGTACTAGTTTTAATATTTTATGTTGTTTCCTAAAACAACAAATGAGAACCTTTAAGTGAGACGTCCAAAAAATGAAAGTGATAATCTTTGATTGAGACGGTGAGAGTATTAAACATGACAGTATTTACTATTATTAATTTCAAAAAATTTCAATTATGACAATAACGTCTCATATTTTGAAATTACGAAACCTATTTAGTCCTATTTAGAGGCAATGACCCGTTGGAAAACTTCAGTTAAGTCGAAAACATTTTTAGAAATATTTAATTCTAAAAATCTGACCATTTCCCAATCTATAAGTGACACATTTTTCACTTTCTTATAAACAATCCAACCTTAAATACTCAACTTTCTTAAAATCAAATAGGAACTTTATTTGGAAGAGAGTAAATTAAACAGAAATTGCCCTAAATAGGAGTAAAAACGTTTTGAAATTCCAAAATAAGAGTATCATGTTTTTTATTCCCTTAATAGGAGTAATCTGCCAAGTTTGGAAAAAAATGTCATGTTTAAAGCCTTGTAATGCCAAATTTGGCAGAAATTTACTCCTATTCTAGGAATAAAAAACATCATACTCCTATTTTGGAATTTTAAAACATTTTTACTCCTATTTAGGGAATTCTCTCAAAATTAAATTAAAGGGAAATTATAAACGGTTTCCCCCAGTTGTTATACCGTATGACCAGTATATGGTGAGCACCGTATGCCGGCATATGGTTTTAGGCATCTTTGGAAGCTCAGCGTGAAACATGTACTAAAATGATAGTGGGTCCTATTATTTATTTATTTCTCTTATTGTTAAAACTATAATAACTTTTTCATTTGTGATCTGGTTTTTATAAAATTTATATCAAATTTTTTTATTTTTCATGATCTTTCAAATGAGATCAATATTGCTTATTTAATTTTAACATATTATCGAACTATTATATTAACCTATGTAAAATATGTAATTTTACGTATAGAAATATGTAACTCACGTCCAGTCAGGCCAAATGCAACTCGTGTGTATAAATATGTAACTCTGCGTGTAAAAATATGTAACTTTACATGTAAAAATATGTAACTCGCGTTCAGACGGGTCAAATATAACTCGTGTGTATAAATATGTAACTCGCGTGTATAAATATGTAACTTTACGTGTAAAAATATGTAACTCGCGTTCAGGCATGCCAAATCCAACTCGTGTGTATAAATATGTAACTTTACGTGTACAAATATGTAACTTTAGGTATAAAAATATGTAACTCACATGTATAAATACATAATACAATAAATTTTTTATATACACAATTTTAAGATAAATTGTGATTTACACAATTATTTTTCTGCATTAAATTTAGTTCGGTTTCCCTTATAATCCAATAATCATTTATATAATAGTTTGATAATTTGTTAAAATTACATAAGCAATATTGGTCTCATTTGATAGATCATGAAAAATAACAAAATTTAATATAAAATTTATAAAAATCGGATATGAAATAAAAAAGTTATTACAATTTTTAACAACAAAAGGAATAAAAAATAAAGAAGTCAAAAATATCATACACGCTGCTTGCCAAAAATAAAGACCGGTATACGGTGCTCACTGTATACCGGTCATACCGTATGATTTGCGCAATCTCAGTGTTCACTTATTTTTTTCTTCTAAAAATGAACTTTCCTTTTTCTAAATTCACTTGACCGAGATTCTAAAAAGTAAAAACACGCGACAAGAATAGAGTAAAGAGAAAAACATTCTTCCTCGTTTTAAGAAAAAAAGCCGGAAATGTTGAAAGAGATCAAGCAGTTAGCTCAATTAGTGCATCTAATTCAACTGTAGTCATTTGCAAAAAAAAAAAATCAACTGTAGTCACGGGTGGAGACATGGGAGGTTGGAGGGTGCTATGGTCTAATTGTCTCCAAGAAAAAAAAAATTGATACATATACATATGTATAAATATTTAATTATTTATACGCGGTAAAAATATGGGGTGATTCTATTTGCATCCACAAAATGACTATTCACAGCCATTTCATTAAACCAAAGAAAAAATATATATTTTAATATCTATTTTGCCCCTAA